AGAATGTATTCATTTTGAACATTCATTTTTTCAGTACTGTTGCACTCAGCTTATTCAAGCATCTACAACACATTTAGAGTTCAAGACACAGCCAGCAGTAGTAGGCTCCAGAGTGGTTGTCACATGATTGATGGGCAGTAGTTTGACAGTAACGTGTTTTAACTTCCATTTGTTACGTGCTTGTCACTTGCTGACTAAACTCAGAAATACCCAGTGCTTGTAACAGGCTGTGTTTAATATCTGATGTACACGTTTGGTGTTGGTTGCACTCAGGTTTTTAACACTTCTTTTGTCTTTTGTAGATGGTTCAGAACTTTCAAGATGAGAGTTGTTTCTTATTCACCACAATAAAAGGTACAGTCTAAAAGACAACTGTGTAGTCTATCAGGGAGCTGCCTTTAGAGCAGAATGCTGGTCCAAGAAACTCCCCAGGCAGAGTAAGGGCAGGTAGAGAGAAGGCTGATGTGCAGACACATCAAGATCTGCTTCCAGCAGAAATGGCAGAAACCCCCATGTGGTCAGGAGGGTGGCATCATTTCGGTTGTACCTGCAGTCAACTTTGGTCATTCAGCTTTCCTGTTTAAACACTGGGGCTTCATATGAATCCCACCCTTCCTCAGGTATCCAGCGTAGTTCTGGGAAAAGGTGCCAGTAAGTTGCTATAATCCATGGATGAGTTTGGCTCTGTGCAAGTTTTACCTACAGAAACTGTCCCAGTTTTGAAGACCCAGTTACAACCAACTTGTTAATCAGAACAGAGCAGGAGTAGGAAAGTTTCTGCAGCTTTGTTTTCTCCTGTAGATGAGCGGTGTTTTTGAAGTTGCTTCACTCACTCAGCCTTCTAACTTGAAATTCCGAGACTGGAAAGTTGTGTATAATTTGTGTAGCATAAAATCTGTTCAGTGACTGTTACAGACCCATTTGTCCCCGTTATGAAGCCTTTTGATGGTACTGCTCAATTATAACCATAAAGCCACAGGGGCTTTTGCTTTTAACAGTTTCCCTTTGCCTTTCTAGTTTAAGGCTGAGCATCACAAAATCGATGATTGAAAGCATATACTAAGGATTTTGATTGCTCTTGCAGTAGTTAACTTCATTTTGTCATAGTAAGTGTCACAGGTGAGGTGGGTTTAATACGTGGTAAGAAGTGTTCAGAAATAACTGCAGACCAAAGGGGGTTTTAAGAAGTTATTCTTCAGGGGTTTAGTGTGAATAGCAAGTTCCTGGTACTTAGCATGTTTTGACTTTACTATTTCATAGTAGTAATGAAATACCACTATACTGAAGTGAACCACTTCTACACAGTAAAACCTAAGCCCATGCTTTGCTGATCTGGGGCTTTGGCTGGTGTATTTATGGTTATTCTATTTATGATTCTAACAACTTCTTTTCCAGCTGAAAATGGTGAAGGCTTCCATATAATTCTGAAGTGATGTCACACAACTGCTAGACTGATACTCCACCGCAGAACGAAGTCCTGCCTAAAGATTACAAAGATCATCCAAAACCTTAGGATCTAACGTCACTGTATAAGATGTTTCATATTGAAAACACAAAATGACCTTTCTAATGAGCTGTTTGATAGGTGAACTTTCTTATCACTGCCATAGCTAAGTGTCCTCATGAGAGGTATAATGCCATGACAGCTTATGTACAGGCATGACAGACAATGTAAGCAAAGGTGCTTGCCCTTCACTGAAATAAGGCAAATTATGGCCAGTAGATACAGTTTTTAGAAGTGTTTTCTATTACCTGTATCCAGTTGGAGATGAATGTAAACTTATTTTGGGGCATTTACCTTTCTGTGCCAGTTTGTCTATTCCGTGCTTGTACCTGACGCTGGTTTTATTTTTTGATGTTAGCAGAGCACATGCTAATCTGTGTGGAGATGAGTAGTTAAGCTGATGGTGATCAGGTTGTTGGGTCTTTTGAGAGTCAAGCTGTCAAAACGGCTTCCCATGTAAATTGTGTATAAGAGTGTATGTAAGAAGTGTAAATGCCAGAAGAGGGCTTTTAAGAAGCCCTAGACAGATGCAATATATGCATGCAGCAAACTGCATTATCAGTAGTACCTTATTGGAGGGATTAATATAAATCCTATGAGGTACCAAGTAATTGTGTTTTGCTTTAACGGATTTAATGGAAAAGACTTGCCTATGCATCCTTTATGTTTAGTTTCTTAGGTTCTCTGCGGAGCACTGCTGCAGTTTAACTCTTTGCTTGTGAAATTGTGGGGTTTAAAATACCGGCCGCGAGAGGTGGACGTGTCTGACTCACTGGAATTGTGCTGATGAGGGAGGAGGAGCCACAGGCACCACGGGGCTGGCGCAGCTTTCAGCAGCATCAAATACACTGCTTAATACTAAACCTGCTCCATGTAACTCTCCTTCCCAGCAGGGAAAGGCCTTGCTCTAGTGGCCGTTATGGACAAGTAGTACCTGTTCTGTTGCTCTGTCTTTGCCCTGGGAGCCGCGCTGAACCGCTGTTACATTACAGTGCCTCTGCCATATGACCAAATACTTTTCTTTCAGCCAGGAATTGTGCTTTCTCGCTATTTTGGGCTCTCTCTCTCTCTTGTGAAGATGTGGCGCAGCATTTCCCATGCTAACATTCAGTTGCAGCTGGTTCGGTGCTTGGAGAGGAACTTCTCCACAGGGACTGAATGACTTCGTGTTGCTGTCATTTTGTGCCTCTGGAAAGCTCCACCATGATCTCCGGCTTAAAAGCTTAGGAACAGTTTTGCTTTTTATGCTGCAGCATTCAGTGTGAGCAATCGCCACCGCGTGTAAAAAAGCAACATTGATTTTGCCATTCCCTCTTCTGTAACTGGCTCAAGTGCTTCAGCAGAAAAGCTTCCTAAAGGTGTAGCATCCTTGAAACTTTATGTTCATCCACGCTAGAGGGGTTCGAGTTTTTCCTGTCCTTATTTTTTCTGCACTGAAAGTAACATTTTATGTACTTAAAACATTTCTTCCTATAAGTTAAGTTGTTCATTTGGGGTATTGTTTGGTCCTAGCATTTTCTTGAACTGACACTGTCTTTTCATCAGCTCCCACCCTATTCAAATCCAAACGTTTTATAAAAGCAGAAAAATCCTTGATTGGAAAGTATCCCAATATCTGATTTTCAGGAACATTGGAAGTTGTACAGTAGTTTGTCCAGCTCACTTCAAATTGGAATTAAATTATGGCACCAGCAAATTGCTTTTGTTTTTTAATGAGATGTACACATTTCAATTTAAGTATAATAAATGTTTTTCAATAATTTTGTAAATGTGCTTTTCTTTTCCTTTACTTCCCCATCCAAGATGCTTCTGGTGTTCAGATTCGGATGAGCTGCAAGACCTGCCCTAGTGATAACAGTGTGGGTAAAGGTACTTACAGAAGCAAACCAGCTCGGTGGCTTATCCTGCACAGGACACACGTACATTGATACTCTGTTTCTGATACAAAACTGAGTTACATTTGAAATGATTGAAACAAATTCAAATGACATCACAGCTTATTGTTTATTTAAGTGGCTTATATCAGAGTAGGTTCTGTTTGGGTTTGTACATCTTAAATGCAATAGACTTACAGGAGTCATTATGATCTTAGAAAAAAGATGAGCCAACAAAGGGCATTACAACTGGACATACTGGTACTGGTGACCTTTGTGGTACAGGTGACAAGAAAATCTGCTTAAAACTCTCTGTTACAGCAGGATGTATCCTAATGGAACTCAACACATGATGGTAACAACAAGCACTCCACCACTGCTGTGTAAAACAAGCCCTGACCACCATATTTCATACTAGTAATCCATGTACTGCTGCACTCTAACCTGTAACTTAACCTCAGAGCTGAGGCTTCCAGTTACTGTCCTTATCTGAAACACACTCACACTTCTTTTAAAAAGTAGTAAATATGTGGGGGGAATTGCAGTACTACCCAGAAGTAGCTTCTCCAACTGCTTTTTAAGCCACTACTTCTATTAATCTTCAGAGGCCCTGAAATCTTTAAGACATACATACACACACAATCAATCTTACACAAAAAAGGTTTCTTTCTGAACTGCTGAGTAGTTTCTCAGATAATTAAGTTGCTTAAGATAAAAAAGTTCATCTAATCCTCTAGCACTGAAGAACTAAGGATGGCCTTAAGAGTCAATACACAGAATGTTACTATTCTTATAATTCAGATGTTGACAGCTTCTCAAGTAACCCAAATGTGAAGAGTCTGGCTTTCTACATTTGAAAACCACAGGTTTGGTTCAGCTCCTGCCTACAGCTTTATCTGCCCCTCTGCTTGCTGTGCTCCAAGACCAGGTGTTACTACAAACAGCTGGAATTCCTTACTCCATCCAGCTGAACCTGGCTTCCATTCTTCAGTTGTAGCAAAGCACAAGTACCCTCTCTTCTAGAACAGCAGCATCTTTCCCTTACAACCCAAGGAGGTAACTTAAGGACAGCAGGAGCAGTGCTGCAGGAAGCACCATGTGGCTGCAGCAGCCGCTCAGCTCCACCATAGCAGGTTGCTCTCCCCTTGTAAAGGCTGATGGCATTGGGTGTAAAACATGCTTAGTGACAGGCAAGCGTTACACCAACTTAACCAAGCTCAGAAACTTGGGAAGTATCTCTATTTATAGTTACCTAGAGGTACTACCTTACCTTTTGACATTACCTATTGTGTCCCCTTGTGTAATTAAATACAAAGCTGACTCATGAAAAAGTATAAGCTGTTTGGCTGCAAGAGCTCATGATTACTTCGTGTTTTTTGGTCAACATCTGCTAAAGCTGATTTGTCTTTAAACCTGGTGCTTAATCTGTCATATATGTTACAGAACAGCAGGTTCGGTTCTGTCAGGTTACACAACTGCACACCGAGTAGTGCTTACAAATGCAAATTAACTTCCAAGTTTAGTGAACTTCCACCAAGTAACTGCTAAGCTGAAAGGCCTGCACATTTTACACAGCATTTCAGTTCTCATGCCAACAGAAGGAAGGAGTGGCTAATACAAACTGAAGCATCACCAACTTAATCCACAGCTGCACATTATGGTAAGTTTTACCTGGAAAAAAAACGCTTTTCTTGTCACAAAACTGGATGACCAAACACCACCGTTAGGACTGTCAGGAAACCAACTCCTTCCACTGCCTTGCAGTCCCATTCTCTTCAACATCAACAATGAAATCTGCTGTGTGGTTGCACTTACTGTCAGAGAATGATACAGCATCTGCAGAGGCGCTGTCCGCTCCCTCCTACTGATGGCGGGGGAGTTACTGGAGCAAAGTAAGCGTGAACTTTCACATGAGGTAGATGAGCCTGCGGGTGAAAAGTCTGCATTACAATGGGAGAGAAAGAAACACAACTAGGGAAAAGCAGCAGCACACCTCACCTGCTGCCAACACCTGGGCTCTCAAGTTAGCTAAAAAGGAAGCATCTGTACACTGGATACAGTCCAAGCTGTTGTAATTCTCCTGTCCCATCCAGCTAAGGCATGCTACGACTGGGCTCTCCCTTGTACAGCATTCCCAATTCCCAACAAGGCATGGCTCAGCCCAGAGAGCTCTATCAGGCCAGACACGTGTTCTGCTGCAGGGGAGAGGGGATGCTGGCTACTGAAGCTACTGTATCCTGTCTCCCTTATTCCCTACTTCTCTCATCCTAGAAAGCAACATGGAATAGAACCAGGCATATGGCCTCAATAATCACTGTCAGGAAGCTTTCCAATCGCAAAGGTGTTTGGACAGGAATCTGGGAGATGAAGCTGCAGACAAGTATAACAGTAAGGCTAAACTACTCCCCCCGAGCGGGTAAATGGAGGAAAGCTTTGTGTCTGGGCTTGAGGACATAACAGCCATACAGTCTCTTCATCTCCATGCAGATGTTTTGCTATTGGCACTATATATTAACTTACAACTTAGGAGTTAATGCCGCAACACAATCTAGAAAACAGAAGCCTGTCTCTGAAATACTAATACAGAAAGCAGAAGATTAAGCACTCGTCATTCCAACAGCAAAGTGTCATGAGCTACAAACAGTTAGGCAATCATTACTATTCATATAGAAAAGCTCCATCTAGATTCTAGAGGTGAGGAACTAACAGAACCATATTCAGACTCTGTCCATCCTCCCTTGCCTGGAACATGCACAGGATTCACACAGTCTCAAGCAGCGTCAGCAGCTCATTCCTACCGGCACAAGTCAGCGAACACGTACTCTGATCCGCTTGATTCCAGCTCGTGTCACTTGCTGGCAGTCATACAGCTCAATTCTCTCCAAGTTGTGGCAGTTCTCCAGGTGTTCCAGTGTCACATCAGTGATGAGGAGACAGTTATCAAGCTCCAGGACCTGCAGCCTCTCATGACCACAAGTACTGTTGCTCAGATGCAGAATCCCATCATCAGTGATCAGTTCACAGTGAGATAAACTCTGAAAGAGAGAGGCAAGCAGTTAACACATTGCTCAGGCCAAGTTACTCTGCCCTCCAACCATGAGAACTATTCAACCTACTTCATTCTAGTGGTTTGAACGGTTACAAATGGTACACAGAGCTGAAATCCAGAAGAGCAACCAAGAAACAGCTCTGCTCCACCCAAGGGCTGTGCTTTGTATTTAACTTGGCTTCAAAATGAGTAGAGCCCCAAAACGCAGGCCACTGGCAGAACTCCTCAGGCCCCTTTGTTCTAGGTGAATGGGGGAATTCTGGTCCAACTGTCGGGCACTTCTGCTACTGTACACAAACAGCACATGTGCTGTGCCAGAGAACAGGAGACAGCATTAAAAGAGATGCTCAAGGACATGCAGGAACAGGCGAGGATCTGCTGACAGGATTTAGTGCTTCACAAGCTACCACGTTTTCATACATACCACTGGGACCAAGCCTATGCAAGTCCGTGGAGATAAACAATCAAATTGGACTGATTTGCTAAACAGTGATTTCAAAAACACGTGAGCGCTCAGTGCCTCAGGCTGTATGTACAGGGAGTAATAAACATCTTGTACAGCTGCAGAAGCAAGGCCTTTCTGCAGCCATCAGCATAATAAACCAGAAAGTCCTCCTCTTCAGCATGTTATTTTGCTCCCTTGAATTTCAAGAGAACAGGGAAAGCTGCGGCATCCTGGGCAGCAACACCACACAAAGCAGCTTCCTGGTTCCTTCAAGAAATTCATGACTTTTGGAGAAGTCTGATGATGTTCAAGAGAAAACAGACTTTCCTCAGAGGAGGCTTAACAAGCACTCTGGCACCAGTTAAATGAATGCTCTTGTGTCTTTTGCACTAGGAACATGCAGGATCTGTGAACTCTAGTCCTTTGGCCCTGGGCTCTGCAGTAAGCTCTTTGCTTCATGCTCAGCCCATACCTGTACCCAAGCCTAACAGGGGCTGGTTCCTGCCTTGCCACCTCAGACAGCAGCTGATGAAGAAACACTTGCAAGCAATCCAAAAGCACTTTTCAATTCAGAGCAAGCAAACCTCTTGCTAATCATCTGAATCAAACATGTACTTCTTCCTTTCTCTCAGTACAACACATCTATCTTTTATTTCATCCTGACAAGGAAGCCCTGAGCATTACCAACCTTACCCTTATTTTACCTCAGCTGAAGTCACTAGCATTTCCTGCCTGCTGCCACACACAGGTCTGTCCTTTAGAATAACTTGCCCCTCAGCTGCTCCTCCTCTCAACAGGATGAACAAGTAACCAGAGAAGAGGCTTGAGACAGGTCTGCAGCATCCCCCAGTCTAACAGGGAGCCCCCAACAGCTCCAGCAGGTCCAATGTCACCCACTCCACAAGCCTGAGCAACTGGCAGCGACTTCAAGCAACACCACAACCAGTGCATGCTGTCTCCCATAATGATGCAAGTCAGCACTGTTCTAACTTACAACTTGCTCACGTTCTGCAAGTCCATCAATTCTCTAAATACTCCAGGCCTTTCCTACACCTAACTTCATTTATGTACTTGCTCTCAGCAATTTGATTTGGCTCACAGCCTGGAAACAATCAGCAGCTGCAGGGTTAAAGAACATTTATAACAAACCTGCTGTTTCAAGGAAGGACAGGAGGTTCTGTGGAGCTCTTGGTTACAGCAGCAGCCTGCTGGCTAATTAAGAGTTTTCCATCCAGGAAGTAAGCAGCTTATAAAAGCAGCTTTCCTGAGACACTGTATTTGGTGCTGAAAGGACAATACAGGATGTACAGCCGAGTTCGTACAACTTCGTAAAACAAATATGTGAAGTGATACATGCTCCATGTTATCTGACCTTTCTGACTTTATAAGCCTGTCAGAAACTGTTAATAATGTGGAATTTTACAATGACAACTGCTTGAAACCTTTACTGGTTTCAAAGGTTTTGAAATATATGGATTCACACCAAAGAATTTTGTTATTTTTGTTAATCCTTACTACATGCTGTGTATAAGTCAAATACCTATCACATTGTGAGAGTGACACACCATCAACTTAAGAAGTCAATTGACTTCTCATCTCCAGTAATGAGTATTTCAGTTTCTCCAATAATCTGAATGTGCAATTATTAGACATTTTCAACAGCAATTACTTCTTAAGTCTAGTAAGTAATAGAGCACTTGAGTGCTCTGATACTGAAGACCATAGTGGTTGGTTATAATTGGTCTAACAGTGCTTTTCCTTATTTTCACTATCCACTGAGTCTCCAAACACCAAGAAACAAATTCAAAGTTGATTTCTACAACTCCAAACTATTTGTTTGAACTGTAAATATGCCTAAACATATGCTAAAGCACAGCTAGTCAAGATTTAGCACAACCATCAACAATATGTGATTTCATATTTGAAGCTTAACACCAGTACACGCAGGTTATTCAGCACCTACTAGTCTGTTTTCTCTTTCCCTGTAATTCTGAGCCATCACTGTTCACTCACACCTTTGAGGATGTATCCTTCCTACACACAGGGTAAAAATCACATCAACAAAAAGTAAGTTTTCCCTGTTTCCTTAGAAAAGCTGTGTTATTTTACAAGTGCCACACTTCCCTGCCCATGGCCTAACACACACACACAGAGGCAGCAAGCGGGTTCTGAAAGATACCTGGAAATTATGAAGTTTGATGGTACCTCCTGTGTAGCACTGGCACAAGTGGCACAAAGGACCTCTTGCAAAGACAGGTTACAGTTGTGATTACAATACAAGAACATACCCATCGCAGAAGAACAGAAAATGTCCCATATAAATGGCTCCACATCTCTCATTTGGCTTAACATTAAGAATTATGGTACAGAAATGAGGTCAGGCAATTAATGAGCAAAAATAAAACCCAACATCAATAGAAAATAGTGAACAAGCTCCTTTTTAAAAGCCATCTCTCCTCATGTTGCTACCTTAGTAACACTGAGTAACACTAATTATAACACCATTTAATTAATGAAGCAGCAAATCTTCCTTTAATCCTATCTAAGAACAGATTATAAAGATACTTGCTCTTTCACGTAGATCTGTAGTAGTATATAAAAAAAAAATCTACCCTTATGGCACAACTGGCCTAAATACAGGGGCTCCTATTTTAAGGGCAGCCTGGCAATTCTGGAGTATCCTGTCTGAAGAGCAGCCAAATTTATGTCACCTGAAATTGGTTTTGATGTTTTGAAAGATCTAAGCAACCACTCCCTAGGAAACAGTTCTCTGAAGTAAGCAGGGTACCCCACTGAAGGCACCTCAATCTTCTCCAATTGCATTCAAAAGTCTAGGTCAAAAAAACCCAACCCTTTCATAATTTACTATGTAAATGTAATCCTTGGGAAAAAACTGCCTGCATGCAAAACTGATACCAGAGTGATCACATAGATTACATTTATCTTCACCAGGTGGTTTTGCTTATTCAGTATTTGATGCAAAGTTGTACTCTCTAAGAAAAACATTACTGAACACTTCAAGGGTATCTATAAAGGATCCAAGTACTGTAAGTAATCAAATATGAAGGATGTTAACCACAAAAATACAAGCTTTCTGGTTACTACTCACTGATTACTGGTAATATTTTGTTATCACACAAAGTAAATATGTTAGGAGTAATCTTCTTTAGAATACATAATGCATATATTTTGCACAGTATCATACTACATCAGGAACTTTGTCTGGATACAGAGTGAACAGGAGTTGTGTATGTGTGTAGTTTTGGGGAATGCATTACAATTCACAAACAAAGAATTAAACTTACCAATGCTTGTAGCTTAGGACAGTGTATAGAAAGTTGTATCAATGTGCTGTCAGTTATCTAGAAATGAAAGAAACAAACCAACCATAAGCAACAGACAGCAGGAGAGTCAACCCTCAAATAAGATCTTTCTCTACCAGATGAAGGTGCTGTTATTTCTGGAAAACACCCAATCACCTATTACTCTTCAAGTATTTCTCTCTATAGAATTTCCCAATAACTACTTTTATTTACTATCATAAACACAGCACTATTAATAAAAACCAAAGCACATATAGCTGAAAGTGCTAATGCACTGCATTCTTACACTGGACATTCAATATTCCTTTTCATATTAAAGCTCACCAAAACACACTCTTCCAAGTCCATCTTCTCCAGCTCATGGCAATTCTAAAATAAACAAAAAAGCAAACAGATAAACAAAAGATGAAATAAACCAACATACAGACGTAAAAACATGCACAGGAGTAGTGATAGGAGATGGCACAGCTTTCAAGAGGAAACCATGAGCTAAATCCCTTCAAGTATTTGATCACCATCGAAGGACAAAAAAATGGTAAAAAGATTAAATATCCACCAGCCACACATCACTTCCCTCTCAAACCTCTACATTTCAGCCTTTCTCCTGCTAAGTGAAATGTCTCCTTGCTCTGCAAGGTTCGAGCAGTATGTACCAGTACTCACTCACCCCTGCTTCCCTTTTGGAATCAACTTCAATTCAAACCTATGGTACTTACAACCTCTGCACTAAAGATAACCAACGTGCATACAGACGCATACACTAACCTGCATCAAACTCATCTGAAACAGACTTAAGCCTATGGAACATCTCTCTTCACCATCATACATTATAAAGCAGCATTAAAAACAATGTGCTTTGCTAATGAATGCTGAAAATATTAAAACATGGTCCACTTTAAGGCTGCACTTCACATCTATACAAGCAATTTCCCCAATACACTGAGAGAACCCCAGCAAGCTCTTGTAAAAGTGCTTTTAGTATCTGATCATGACTCATTTCAAGAACACAACATAACCTTGTGACCTCGCAGCAGACCACATGCTGCTATGGCTCAGCCCAAACCCCAGCCCATTTTTTACAGGCATAGGAAGAAACGGTTTAACTTGCAGTTCCCAAAGGCAAGCTGGAGGTGACTGCCAAAGCCCAAGGCTATAGTGGTGAATGATTAGAAACCAGTCTGTTTTACCACTGTGGCTAGAAAAAAGCCCCTGCATTCAGACTAAACATCAGCAGTGCAAACAAATCCTGTTAACTATTATTTTAGTGCTCAGATGTCTTAAACCAGTAAGCAGACAAGTCTAACTTGAAGCATTTGATATCATGCTTACATATTTACAGCATCAATCAGGGCACAAGTGTTTACAGTTCATAATGTAAGTATTTTTGTAACTTAACAGTATGCTTAGAATAATCTACTATACAGTGATTATTGGGATGTAAGTATCACCGGTATGTGTTATGCTTATAGGGGAAATTTATATAGGGGAAAAAACATAAGACAAGTTTTGGATTATGATAAGCATAGTAAATTCTACTGAAACATACAAAAGAGTGAAAAATGCAATCATAGATGGTAAAATTATTCTATGATTCTATGAAAATAGACCAAATTGCAGCTGTAAGTATAATTCAGAAACAAAACCACTTTTTAGTCCTTTCCTCCACTGGGTTCTTTCTACTTTATTTTTCTGCTTCTCATACTTCTTCCGAGCAGCACTATATCAATTCACAGCTGCTCAGCAGCAAAGAAAACAAGGCAAGCTCTAACCTTCTGAAGTGACCCTTACCCGTGCTAAAAGGGTAAAACCAGCATCTGTAAGATGTGAACATCTTGCAGCTTCCAAAATCCTGGAAAAGTTTTAAACATTAAAGAAAACATTAGCAGAGAGTAAAGCAAATGCATTTGAGATACAAATCTGTCTTCTGCAACTTACAGCTCTCAAGAGGAAACGTACACATATACGCCTATTTTTCACTTATTTGCAATTCAAAAACACTAGGCAGACTTTCAATCCAGTTTATCAGAACATTCTAATAGTTACAGACCAGATTAAGTTAAATCCTCAATCTTCCCAATATTTAGTGTGGAATTACACCTAATTATAGGTATTTTAACCTTGTTTCAGTAAGACAGCAAAATGCTCAAGTTCTTTTATGCATTATCAGAGGAAAGATATGGGTGAATAAACCCCAAGTTAAAGAAAACGCAGATGAAGCCTACATCTAAAACCCATTGTATAAACACAGGATGCTGGGAAGCCACAAAACTGAGAAACTGCTTACTAGAAATTCACTTAGAGCATGAAGCACAGTGAAGGAAGTTACCAGAAAGCAAGGAACAAAAAATCTCCAAGCCCACAGTAAAACCAATGAACAACACCAACACAACCTTAAAGAAAATAACACAGTGTTTTGGAAAGATAAACCTAACACTCCCTCCACTGGCCCTGGAAAGCAGTACTGACAAAAGAAAGGTCATCTTCCCCAAACAGCATCACTATAATATGCAGAATGAGCCTTCAGCATATTAACATTTTGCCATCTTTGTCATCGTCTTCTTTTTCTTTCTCTTAATGAACACATTTTACTTTGCAGGTGGAGTAAGTATCAGGATGAATAAGCAGAAACCATGCAGCAGGAGTGAGCAACCGGCTGCATGGTGCCAGCTGCGGTTAAACCATGACAGACTCTTCACTATGGCTTTGCTAGATCAGACTCTTCCAAGCCAAAAGCAACAGCACAGCAGAGTTCAGAGGTTAAGCCTCACAGGATAAACCCTTGAAAACCACTTCCAGAGTGCTCATCTCCAACACGATTCAAATGTACAATGGGAACTCAAGAGCAGCCAACAGAGAGGTACAACACAGGTACAGCTTCTCAAATGGATGGCTGTAACACCCCTTTTTCTCTATAGACTCACATTTGGGAACTTTGTTCCCTTCCATCAAGGGCAGTTACTAACCTATCATAAAATACTCTCAGCTACTCTGAAAATTATCCATGAGACCAAATAGGAATAGAAAAAACCCACCACCACCACAAAATATGACTCAGGTCACATGTTATCCTTCTTACTCCTTTCATTGATTCCTTGCTTTCAACCCCACCTCACTTACAACCACTGGATCCCCAACCCTGTTACATTTCTGATTTGAAAGAGGGGAGAAGGGGATAACATTTGAAGCGTACAAAATAGGAAGAATGCTACTTACATCTGCTTGAGAAGGAGATGGAAACAGAGGGGTAAGAAACCAGAAGACTAGCAGCTCTAGTTACCCTGAACTTGGGTGTGCAGTTAGGTTGAAGAGCAGAATGGAAAGAGCAAGCCCTATATACACATGCTGCAGCAATTAAGCTCACAAATGAAAAACAGGTGGGAAGGCACTGTTCAGCATGAAAATGGGCAAAGTTCTAATTCTTGCTTTCAGTGATTGCTCTTAATTAGAGAGGACTCTTACTTTTTTTTCAGATAGAGCTGACATTTATATCCCACCCAGTGATTCGTGATAAAGGACCTAGAATGGGAGCTGATGAGGCAAAATGATAGAGAGCAGATTCATCACTCTCATAAAGCAGTGTTCTCCAAGACAGACCTCCCAGTAGCACTTTAAGATGTGGGTACACCTGGAATGTCTCCACACACAGCACCTCCCTACCCCTCCTAAATTAGCAGCAGGTGGGAGACAACATTGATGGGGTTAAAGAGGATCCTAATTTTCACAGCCCCACCCAGACAAAGAACTTCGTGGGTGCTTTCTCCATAAGCCTCACCAAAACTCTAACCAGTGTTTTTACATTTGAAAGTGCTAAAAATCAGAAAAAATAAGATAGCAAGTGCTTAAATGAGCAGGTATAAAGAGAGATGAGGGGGCAGCCGCATCCTGAAGCAGGGGAAAAAGCAGCTGAAGGGAGCTGGTCAGGCTTAGTATTTCTTTTCAAGGAGATGTAAGTGGTAACAGCTGCAGAACAGTGGTATCATGGAAAGCAGCACAGTAGGGCTCCCATTCCCTTAAGTGAAGTGAGAGTAGCACAGTACAAAAGAACAGAAACACAAGCTTCTGACAGAGGCAGCAGAGTTTTCTTTCATACTCAACACCAAAATATTCAGAAGGTATGAACAAGTGTGAAATTACATTTCCCTTTGATTGCAAGGTAATTTTTTATAACGTACTTTCCTTATACGATCCCAAAAGTCTAGATGTAAACAGCTGTGCCATCTGCCCTTCCATCATGCACTCCACTGCAGCAAACACCGCAAAGGGTCTTCCTCTTTCCTTATACTGCTCCTCATGACAGAAGAACGGCAGACGCCTTCCCCCTCGTGGCACAGACAGGAGCTAACAGTTTACCTACCAAAGTCAGACCGGTTCCTGCTGCAGTTGTACTGGAAAGAACTGCCTAACTAATAGCACTTTAGAACTCCTATTTCCAATCCGAGCTGTGAATTGAGAGAACGAGAGAAATCGTGGGAAGAGACCCAGAGTAACAGCACAGCTTTCTCAGGAACACAATTAAATGTGTCAGAAGACTCCTAAGCCCCTAACACTGGCACACATAAGCTCCAGTAAGTATGAACTGTTATGTGAAAGGGACTGTCACTCTGGAATTGTCTTAAGGACAGGTTTCCTACAATAGCAAAAGCTCTTCTTCACTCAGTCAGCTAAAGGAACACTGTGTGTTCTGAACACTTGCTTCCCCTAATTTTTATCATCTACACTTCCCTCCATTTATCTGTGACTGAAATAACAACTCTTGACTCCTGCACATTCCTGTCAGAAATGGCAATTCAGTGTAATCTAAAAATTTCTGATTTAATTTACAGTGAAATCAGACCTCACAAGAAGCATTACATCTCTCAACTGCTGCATGACGGAGCTCTCCTATTAAAGCTGAAGCTGTCCCCACTGAGAATGCCACTATAACCTATATGTCAGCACAAATAACACCAATGTAAAAGTTAACATTATTTTTAACTGATAAGCCCTTATTACTCAAAATACATGCCATAAACATCAGACTTTAGCACACTCCACATCAGAATTGAAGAATGCCAGGATATACAGCAGAGCATACTAAAACCACATTAAAAAACCACAAACTCCTTAATTATATTCAGATATGATTTAGCTTTTTTTTCTCCAAGACAAATGGCTGCATAAAACCACATCAGAGTACAAACATCGTAAGACACAACTACAGATATTTTTACCTTTAAAAAAAATAATGGGCTTTATATCTTCTTTTCTCCTGGTTTGTAATTAGCACCTAAAATACTTAGCTAGAAGCACAGAATTGAACTTCTTGGTTCATCATGTCTTATTTGTTATCTATAAAATCTGTTTTTCAATATACAGTAGACTACATTAATATGATAGCTATAGAGGACCAGCCCTCAAGTTTCTATGCAGCTGGTACTTCTACCTTACTGTTTTGATTGTAAAAGTAATGCAAAGCAACACAAAGCTAAATCAAACCTGTGGGTATCAGCTGATTATCTTTAGAAGTGAATTTCTTAGACCAGGCCAATAAGAACATGACATACTCATGACAGGCTCATGACATACTCACTTCAGCCTTGGACAGTTTAGACCAAGTGCTGTGAGAGAAGCATCTGTCAGGTTGCTACAGCCTGAAACACAGAGTGATTGAAGTCTGTGGCATCCTCTACAGATTTTGACAATGCCTTCATCTGAAATTTGCTGCAACACAGAAGAAGGCTGAAGTTACTCCATTATCAAATAACCAGCTAAGAATAAGAATCAAGTCATATTAACTGAACTGGTAGCGTCACACTGTATATAATCATGGCAACCTGTGAATTTTCAACCAAAAAATACTATCATGAAACCATGTTCACTGATAACACTGAAAACACTCATGAGACAATTCTTACTCATCTATGTATTTTTCCACAGATCTCAAGTACTGCTCAAAGGCAGTTTGAAGCACAGAGGGAGAGTTATTCGTTGTTGGCTTTCTCTTTCACTATGCTTTTGCTTCAGAATTTTCACTCTTTTTTGGAACTATTTATATTTAATTGTAACTGTCATTGTGTTAAATAGCTTGCCTGTATGTTTGTAGAGTGCAGGTCTTTTTAGAGAGACAATGTAAGTTCAGGAACAGTGCAAAAGAACTCGAAGCTAGAGAGCAGTAAAGCTAACTACCTATTTCGCACTGGAGCAGTAGGACCCAAGGGTAAAAATCCTTCATCTCTGGATAATTTTCAAAGCTAAAGCTGCCTTCAGCTGAAAGATTTAACTCAAAAGAGGGCTTTTCATTTTGCAAAATTGTTTTGTACTAGATATTCTGGGGAAAAAAAAAGAAAAGAAGTAACACTTAAATTTGGACACAGGAGCTAGAAGAAATATCCCCAGTGCAGCTACACACAAAATAGCAACAGGAACTGGGTTATTGAGGGGGTGTGTGTGCAAATATTATTTTGTTTACAGGTCTTCTATTCTGGAAAAAGTACTCTCCCACTCCTAATTACAAGAATTTACTTTTTCTGCAGAATGACTAATCCTTCATGGTGAAACAGGTTATTTCCTGGCCTACCATTATTCTCCCAATAACAACAAAGACCTCTACTGTATTTTGAACTGAAAACACACATTCTTTTTATAAGCCACACATCCAGGTACAGTAATACTACTTGAGCATATTTGAGGCTGTTACCACAAATACCACCTTCCACAGATGGAAACAGGATCTGAGATCACCTTATGCCCCCTCGCCCAACCCAGCACTTTTTAGTATCAGAAGTTCGTATTTGCAATTTGTTCTGTCAAATAGAAATTATTCTAGACAGAAAACTAGAAGTCTTGTCATCTTTTTGTGGATCTAGAAGGATCTGCATCATACACAGGTAAAAGTCCAGTATCAATCAGGTATTTCTGGATCTGACTCCCCAAAACCATTATTTTCTAGAACTATCTTGGTTTTCTGGGAGATGCTCCTGACACTGTCACTGGGAACAGGAACTGTGTTGGAGGTAAGGACTATGTAAATTTTGTGCTGCTGTTGGAGATGATCAAAATCCTCAAGTTATATATAAGAATTTTCCATTCTGAAATTGCTTGTCATTCAATGCCTACATCTCTCTTGGGAAAGAAAGGAAAAAAAAAAAAAAAGGCACAAAAACGTCTGCAAGTCCCCATTTTCTAAGGCCTTTCTCTGAAGAATGTACCTATCAATCAGATGTGCATTTTCCAGAGTTAATATCAGTTCATTTCACAGCTGCTGGCCTGGCATTTTATAAGGTCCACAAAACAGAGCTACTAGAATTAAAGTTTGGATCATCTAAAGCACAAGTAGATCCGCTGTGTAAATATCAGTGCTAGACCTTTAATCATAAAGGCCCTGGCTGCCTCTGGAAGCATGATTCTAAGCCATAGCATGTATGTGTTTTTCCATTGAGAAAGCATGCCTTTCTCCTGATACATAGACTGTTCTGAATAATCTTCAGTTGATGCCAATACATTTTACTCTCAATTATGTAGCCCACAATATGTCATCTGATACATTAGAAACCATAAAATTATGAACAGACCAAAATGTTTGACCTTAATGGATGGGAGAACAAGATTTACATCTGTGAAACCGCACGGTTTAGCCTATACACAGTTCATGAGATTTGAATGAATGCAGTTAATTCTTACTCTGGAGCTTGTTAAAAGACATAGTGAGGGGGAAAAAACCTAACCCATCACTTCAAATCTATACTTGGCTGTAGAAAAAGCCAGCTCGTTTAAGATCTCCAAGATTAAGATTTCCACACAGAATTCTGTAAAGTGCAGACATACACTATTTGAGTTATTCAAGTGTTTAGCAGATCAATTCATTATCATTCAAAAATGGTTAATGATTCTTAGAGAATGTATCTTTTGAAGCTCCAAATACATACCGTACAGGATTGCAAATTCAGGATCACCAGTTCATGACAGTGATTTTGAATGTGTTTCAATGCTTCATCTTCTAACTTTGTTCAGCAATTAAACAGGACATAGGAAAAGAAACAAGAAATTAAAAGCACAGCAAAGCAGCCCGAAGAACATACACATTTTGTAACATTGAACAAAAGACTATAACAAAAATGGTATTTTTTAATTCATGGAGATTTCAAAAACCCAAAATAAAATTTTATTCCTAAAGGATCACCCAAGCAGTTATGTACCTGTGTGCAACCTCTAAGAAATAGAGCTTTTAGTCCACTACACCCTTTCACCAGTGCTTCAATACCATCCTTCGTAATCTGATCACACCAGGAAAGATTCAAATGTTCCAGATTTCTGCAACCCTCACTGGGAGAATTAAAAAAATACATAAAGTTAAATCCAGCCTTCAAATAGTCATAACAGTGGGAAACCCAAATTAAACACACTGTTAGGAATTAATGATAGCCAGTGGACTGCGCCAGGCCTCCACAGAAAAGTCATGAGAAAAGACCACACACAAACATTGCAGTCTACACCCAAGAAGCCCTAGATATAGAATATGGTCACTGCTGATACATACTATTAGGGTTCAGCAGTGATATTTTTTTTTAACTTTATTAAATGTTGAACAGCTCTTTAAATGCTTTTATTTAATACAAAACACTGAATTTTCTTACCTTAAGCCTTTCAAAGAGCTGTTTGTGATGGCTACACAAGATGTCAGATCCAGATGTTTCAGCTTGGAACAGAATCTGCTAAGACTGTAACACGTGCTGCAAAACAGCAGACACACTAAAAATACCTTCAGCTACTTCTTCTTCCAGATTTTCCCATCAAACAAAAAACCGCTTTGACTTACCTGTCAGTGATTTTTGTGCACCCATTTAGATTTAAATGTTCGATGTTTCTACAGTTCTGTGCAAAGGTCCTAAAACAGCAACAAAAACCTGGAGTTAATATATAACTCAAAGTTGTAATACAGTCACTAGAGTGCGCTCACGTCCCCTACCACCTTCCACCTCAGTCAAAAAGCTTAAGACTCTTCAAGCCACAGAGTAATTACAAAGCACACCTCTCATATGTCTGCCTCTTGCTTTTTCCTTTTGTTAATATAAGTTTCTGACTTAGGTAACTCGTGAAACCAAGTGTTGTCCATATCTCAAATACCACTTGAGCAAGGTGTTTATCTCTTGTCATATATAAGCCAGAACTGATTTGCTTCAAATGCCTTAACTAAAAACATTAAGGGCATAAACAGGTTTAAACATCACATCAGTTAAATATTAAGCTGCTGGGAAGAGTTTTTGCACATCTCGTTTCTGAAGTCTTTGTAGGAACTTGCTCCCACATCAAATGAAAAGGAATGTTAACTTACACTATATGCAGAAGTGGGACCTAAGCCTGTCGAACTACCAGTGGAAAGTGTTGTGGACTGCAAATTAGTTATTTATGATCTTAAAAATTGAAATGCATCTGTGTGCACTACTGGGTATGAACTATAAGGATGATTGGAGCCATTATACTGCTAAAAGCCTGTATGTATCATTATACTAATTACCCAGGAGAAACACACAAACTTTCTTTTCATCTCTGCAGAGTAATATTTACAGCTGTGCTGCATTTCAGAACACTGGTTTTATGCCCATGTTTTCTCCAACTGCATGGATTTTATTGGCAGGGGTGGAGGAAACACACAAAAACAGTTTTGTCTGGAGGCTTGCCGTGGGTAACAGATCCAACTACACACTCAGCTGGTAACAACTTCCTGGCTCTCCACTGTGGGTTGGAAACAATGGAAAAAAAGCCCAGCAAGCAGTTACACTGGTGAGAGTTTCCACTTGAATTCTCAAAACAGCTATTCCAAAATTCATGTACTGGAGAGAGATTTACAATTGAGACACTCTGCACATCACTTGGGAAGATGCTACAATGGAGGGACAGCAAACTTTGCTTCCATGATGCAGGCATGAGGCATGTCCTGAGAGAGCTGCCACAAACATGGCCAGTACCTACTTCTATGACTGGATATGTTAAAACAAAATTTGATGTAGAAGTAGGACAAAGAAAGAAATTAATATCACCCACAAAACTAATGGATCTGGAAACAACATGAGAAGGCTCATAGGAAAAGTTGCTTTTAGAAAAAGTATCTGAAAATTAATGTCACCTTTCTGTTTTGAAAGTCTTAAAGCTGATGCATTTATCATTCATTTGTTAATTTCAATATAACCTGCTTTCATTTCAGAGGTGAACCATCTTCTTTTCTGAAGTGCCTTAGACACCACCACCTGCACCAGTTAGTTAGATGTACGTGTGAATGCTGGTAACGCTCTGGTAGCCAGTCTCAGCTAAGCCAGTCCTATTACCTGCTGGCATGACTAGCTCTCTCATCCCAACGATGTACACATGCTACACACTCAACTGCTATATGCTTATTCTACGTATCTGCTCAATGAATACATCAGTTTTCAAAACACCCCAGCTCCAGTCCTCCCCACCTTCTCAAATGCCATTACTACATGAACCCACTTAGGATATCTGGTCCTATTCACAACCCTCACTGCAGCCTTCTAGCCTTAGTACCCTGGAAAGTACAATTGGGAGCCTAAACCTAACGTGAAAATGGAGTTACTGGGGGGAAATCTGTTACCTACTGTCCTAACTCTTTCTTCCTACACCCTTCTCATTGACTTCCTGCTACCTCCTCCTCATGGTAGCTGTTACCTCTCTCAGATCCCGCCTCTCCCCTCTCCTCCACTGCTGGTATTGCCTCTCCTACTGAGGACACAAGAACTCTCTGTGTGAATGTTCTGGGAACTTGGAAGAGCATTACAGAAAGTTCACTCTGGTTGGAGCTACCTCTTTTTTTGACAGCAGTTGCCAGTAATCTGGGAGATGGTAATAATACATGCCTTCCCCTGAAGAAACAAGACTGACTGAAGGTGGAGACACCACGAAGCAGTCAGGGAGATGGCTTAGACAGAGGCAAGGAAAGCTTAGGGGAAAACTTTGGGTCTGAAGCTAGGATGCTTATTTGGGTTGCTAAAGCAATCTAGTGCTCAACTAGTTGCTGGATTAATTTACCCTAGACACAAAACCCAGTGAATTAGACTTACTTCGAAATTTTAGAAAGATCTAAAGGTCACAAGATACTAAATGCCCACTGCTTAACAAAAATCTCTGTGTTTGTATTTTCCACTGAAGAATGGCCACACTGTATCAGATCTAACATCATCCAGCCCAGCCTCCTGTGATAGCTGAGGAAAGCATACCTGTAAAAAGCCATACCCCAAGGCTTCTGCCAAATACTCTTTGAGCTCTACAGGACTCGTGGCTTAGGGACACTTCAGCTGGAGGTAGGATCTCCGAGTTTTAATACTCAGGAGAAACATTCAGAGGGATCTGGCTAAACAGCTTGTGTACCGAAGAAGCTTATATGGATTCAAACAATCTTGTGGGAACAAACTGCACAGTTCAGTTTATATATTGTACAAAAAAGGGCCACCGTCTCTATCTGGAGACTTCTGAGATGATCCTGTTGCCTGTCTGTCCTTAAATTAGAGCCAGAAGAGAATCCAAGGCTTTTCCTGATTTTGCATGCACTAAGTTGTATCAGTCTTTATTCTTCCTCCCATTGCTTGGGTCACCTCCTGTCCACACTAGGAGATAAACTATAAACTGACTGACTAATCTTCATGAAATTAAGTGTTGTAGGACACCAGAGTACAGATCTGAAAACATTTTATTTAACTGCTTGAAAATGGAATGATATCAACATAATACTAATGAATAAAAAGACACATTTCTGAAGATCACAGTTCTCATTTCTTAGTTCATTTTCAGAAAATAATAGTAGCTATACTTTGATCTCAAATGGACATCTCCATCACTATTAAGGTACTCAGTAATTCAGTATCCCATTTTGGCCATTAGTCAGTACTCAGAAATCCAAACAAACGTAACAATAATTGCTTCTGGTCCACACATTAGGAAATAAATGATGTCTCAATCTTGGACTTTACTTACTTTAAGGAGGAGTCTCCAACACCAAGACATCCTCTCAGACTAAGTTGTCTCAGGAACCCACCACACCTTTTCGATATATTTTCCACAACTCGACCCTTAAACCAAATAGAAGGAAGATTTTGTTGAGTTTTATTCTGACATAACATTCTAACCAAATTAAAAATGCTGGGAGCGAACACCCACCCCAACTCTACCCCACAACAACTACACCTCCTTGAATTTCTTCTGCTGCTTTAAAGAAAAACAGTTGCTTGATGACACTTTCCACCCACACTGAAGTGCCATTCAATGCCATTTTTAGTTCCATCTCCCTTTTTTCAGTCTATCACACAGGACTCAACTTTTTGTGTCAGCAATAACTACACATTAAGATTGCCGAAATCCTCTTCAAGTTTTGTCAGATGTTTAAGGAACCTGAAGAACTGCCCTAGAGGTTGACTGGGAGGCATGCCCATTCCTCAAGGATCACAGTTACTATCACAGCATCTCAGTTAAAATTCACCACAAAGACGTGCTTAGGCTAGTACATCATTGAACTACAGCCTTTGTACGTCCTGTTTTACAGTTCCTCCTGTAGGGGTCTGCCTGAGCCCACCTGCCAGTCTTCAATGTCATATATATTTGGATATCTGTGCCTAACACTTGGGAATGACAAAGAATATCACAGGCTTTATGCCTGGTTACTTGTTTGAAGCTGAAGCACAGTTTACACACAAAACCTCCTACTTGACCCCATATTTGCTATAAAATGCTTTTTACTTACATCCCCAAAGCAAATTTTGTTATAAATCAGGGGTTAGCAGAATAGCACAGTACTTCTAATATTCAGTCTGAAAGTAGCACTAGGCAAAAATGTTATTTAAACACCAATAAAAATATACTCATTTATTTTTATATTTATTTAACATTACTTAAGAAAAATAAGATAGCAAAAAGCATGTGGCTACTGCAAAAAAATACTAGACATCACATTGTGTCTAATTTTAGGGAAGTAAGGTAAGAGAAATCAACACTGACCATTTAATACCAAAAAGCTAATAGCATCTTCTTTGCTCTCTTTTCATTTTGTTTTTAAGAAGGAATACTTAATACAGTTACAGGTCAATGGATTTTTGTTTGCTCACTGTTCACTTCTGATACCAAAAGTCCTAGTTATCACTATGTGAAAACATTTTCTTATCAGAGCTTGTTTCTTAGTCCATAAGCAACATTGTTTATCTTGTATCTCAGAAGAATTTACACCAAAACAAACTGAAAATCACTATACAAACAAAATTATGTATTTCTTAAGGCTTTCTGATTAGACAAAATTCTTTCTCAAAGAAAATAGAAACACAGTTTCCCCAAACCCATTTATTTCTTTAAGCATGTAAAAAACCCCAACAAAGAGCATTTTTAAAAAGTCAAATGCATTGAAATGTGTTTAACTGTTTGAATAATTCAATGTCACTTAAACCCCTAGATTTTCAAATTACCTCAGTTTACATTTGGTTCCATGTACCAAAAAATCCTAACGCACATTAAATTTCAACATGATCTTTACACATCTTCATCAGAGAAAGTAAAGATTTTTTTTATAGTTCCACCTCCCTCTTTACTCTCTACCACATAAGGTCTTCAATATGGAAGATTTCACAAAACGCAATTTTTCCTTATTTGATGGTCGCAGATCAAGTACTGCTTGATGCTATGTGAAACTTCACCAACCAGTACAATGTCAAACTGAGCAAAAAATTGCTAAATACAATTAGCAGCTTTTACCTGCCCTAAATCTATAGACAAAAAAATCTTACCAAAACAGCTGAAGAAAAAGACAGAGTTCTTAGACACCAAATCTGAGTACCACGTTCAAAACTACCTTATGTAATAACCTTTGGTTTAATGTACTCTTATGAGTAAATGTAAGGGGCTTATATTACAAATATACTTCAATATAATATATTGAACTAAATTGCTCCAAACCACAATAGCTTCTTATAGCAAAAGAGGATCATAATTTAATTTCATCCCTTCCCCTGAATCTCGTGCTACAAACACAGTGTCTCAACGGGCAACACCAACACAGTATCTCAAAGGTACCACATAAGACAAATATATCGAAAACATTAAAATCCAATACTGTGTTTCTAAATAGCAGAAAGGTTTCAGACACAGAAAAGGCCTACCAACAGAAGGCCCACAGACCCATGGGGTTTTCTTCATTATTTCTTAACAAATGAGAAACACAATCTTTTTTTTAAAGTAACTGAAAATATTACATTAAAGCTCCAAGTCTTTGTAGGCACATTTAGATAGAGGCAGATGCCAAAACTCTTTCTCCTACCTCTGCAAGATCCTCATGTTTAACATCAGTACAGAAGAGGACTTGGCAATAATTTTTTAAGAGCGGTGAAAAAAATTTGTGCTATATATTACTGTAAAGCTTTAGGAACAGTTTGAACCATGCTTGGCAAAATATACCAAATGAAATCCACATGGATTTTATTCATGCAACTAAGAAACTATAACATAAAACCCAGAAGCAAATTCATTACTGTATTCTAAATCTGATTTGTATCAAACAACAAATAATAAACCAGTTCAGACTCAATTTAGGAATTGTATTTCACCATGGATTTTTGTCTTAATTTTCTAATGTCCTATTTCATTTTGTTATGCACATCTGTGATGGCATTAATGCTGATATGTTTTTCTTATAGAAGACAAGACTGCCCTAATCATTTTGTTAAATGCTGAAAAGGACTTTAATCCACATGTACCTGCATTCCAGGCAAGGTCCAAACCTCAAAAATCAAACGTTCATAAAGCATAATCAGATACATGCCTAGATTTGATTTGGTGTGTAAATGGTTAAGAAAAGTTGTTCAGCATTTTATTGTGCCAATCTCAAAATCCTACAGGAAAGCATGCAGAGAGCTTTTAGCACTAGATGGCATCCTCACAGAGAGGCTCGACTAGCAACAAAATTGTGTCTGGATGGTGAAACTGATTCAGAGGATCTCGCTCCATCCAAACGCACCATTTATACTTTTACTTTCTGGAAACGAGCAGCTTTGAGTTTCAAGAGCCCTGTATGCATGTGATATATGCCAATTATGTGATATATACCTGGCAACCAAAACTGAAACACTCATCCAGTGTGAAAAAACATAAACACAGAGTTACTATCCATTTTCTCCCTCACAGTACTATCCTGAATTCAGCCTTTAAAATGTGACCACAAGCACAGTCTATGTGATACTCAAAATGGGCTATGCTTTTAAACATCACCATAGGAATAGAAAAGAAAACTAAGGACACTAACCTCTATATCTGTTTGAAAGTTGAAGAGGTCTATTCTTTGCCAATTGCTTCCGTCCAGAGCTAAAACATTCCATGCCTGCAGAAAACAAACACAGTTTATTTATTACCTCCACCGCCTGTTCCCTTCGCTTTCCTCTCAACAACTGAAATATAACAAAATATACAATTTCAGATCAAATTCTTTAAAAGAACTGTAACTGTAGATGTTAGCAGTCATACAATATCAACTACTTAAAAACACTGAATTTGTGGAAATAAATCTCACATCTCCCAAATGAATTACACTGCAGAAGCTAACTTTTGCTAGTAAAACATGTAGGAAAGCAAGAAATTAAAGTACATCCATGGATACAGCAAAGATCTAACCCTGCATTTTTTTTAAACTTCAGTAAATTCTGTCTAATAAGTTACTTCTGCTAGATTTATATGGAGAAAAGTAGCTGCAAGTGAGAGTCTGTCCAATAATACTGTAGTTCCTCAACCTCATTAGTTACTATTCTGAGAAAAACAGAAACCTTTCACAGAACTGCTGACCTTCCACTGTTAGAACCAGGTCTTTCCTTTACAGGTGCAAAGTAACACATGCATGCTTGAGAATTTGTCCTTCGTTGTCGAAGTAAAGGTTGGTCAAAGTAAAATAAACCAAAAAAGCTAGAGAAACATAAATACATTCAAAACCAGAATACTGCATCCAACCGACAAGTAGTCCTGAGAGAAAAATACAACCGATTCAATCACTTTGGTTTTCTTCCACTGTTTTGCAGGCTCTACCCAAAGGTTCTAACAAAACCTGATGTTAACACAAAGCTTACTGACCTTGCAGGTCACAATGAAATGGGTGTAGGAATTAAATAGTTACACAATTCTACATTAAAGCAAGCAAACAAAGCAAAACAAACAAAAAACAAACCCTGAACAAAATAAAACCCAATCCTCATCAAGAGGGAAGAAAAGCACGAAATAAACACATTCATTCATGTTATATAAGAACACACTTCATTGGACACACTTGATGTGGGAACAGACTATTCATTTTAATTCAAGAAAAATAATCAATACAAGCTAAACATAAAAGCTTACTTAGCATGCTTTCTCTAGTATCTTCTGCTGCCTTTTTCCTCCATTAGCAGTCCATCTACTTAACACCTTTTTGTACTTGGCAAGCAAGTGATGAATGTACTTCTTAGAGACATGGTGCACATTAACTGAACTACATGGAACTTTAAACAGAAAATACATCTGAAAAATAGTGTTATGCAGCCACATGCTTTATAAAAAGCAAATGCCATCACACCAAACTGACTTAATCCTTTCTCCAGATATAGACCATACACAACTAGGTTATCTTTTCCATAGCCTTTAAACAGAAGTTCAGTACATAGCAACTAAGACCCCACCCGAATGCAAAACTGGTTTTAAGAACCAAATAGATTGAGAGAACTAATGTTTGGGGTCTATTTTTGGACGGGAAGCTGATTGCCCCAAAGCCCATGATTTGCATATAACTAAGAGAATAGCATCCCCCAGAAAAACAAAAAACCCCAACAGAAATACATACCTTGGAAACTTGTGCGCATCGACACAAAGTAACTATGTCCAAGAAAGAAAATATTCTAGGAAGAAAGGCAAAGAACGACAATTAGAATGTTTTATTACAAAGTCAGACTAACACATGGACTCACAGCTCTGTAGTTCTATAAAAAAGCACTAGTTGCACAAGAAGCAAGTTAAATGCAGTATGAGCATTTTATCAAGTTATTTTGCTGCTCAAGACTTAAGGAATATCACATCTATCATCTAAAGACAGTCACCATCAATATATTAGAACCAGCAGGTGCTTCTTCTGAAAATATCAATTTTCTGTTTCCCCCTCCTTACTACCCAAACATAAATGAATGATAACAAATTATTTTGCTTCTTTTTAATTCAGACAAGCTAGCTTATATACCCTTAATTGGGATGCAATTAAAGAAATAACTCACACAAATACAAGTGAAGATTTCAGACGTTGGAGAAGAGTAAGAAATGGAGAAAAACACAGATAAATTCAAGAATCTAAGTACTAACAAAAAGAAAAATTGCCCAGACTTTTAAAGGGCTTTCATAGTGACTACCAAGTCTAACACAGTTATTTTTTAGTCTACAATTGAAAATTCAGCATTACTATTCTGAGCATGGAACCAATTCCTCAAGGCTGCCAACTCTTAATAGTTTTCCGAAAGAAATTTTTCACTGTCAGAATGAATTTTGCTAAATACCCCTTCCAGACAACAATGAAATTGCTTCAAAGGATATTCTTGGTGAAGAAAAAAAACAGCTTAAGCACAAAATACAAGTCCTGTTCCAAAATAATTCTCTATTACAGAGACAGATACAAAATAGGTGAAAGATATTACTGTGATTCACTTATAAATATCTAAATATAAATACTATATAAATATATATAAATATATAAATATAAATACATAAATACTGTGATTCACTGTTACCTTCTCGCCAATGAAATTTTTCAGTTATCAGAACAACTAATAGTAATAATAACAATTTCATCTTTTAGTGAGATGTGAACACTGAGGAGTAAACAACAGGTAGAAGATGCTGAATTTAATAATGTTAAAATTACTATTTTCCAAGTGGAAATCTCAAGTTAGAGCTCAAAATGGATGCCTACATCTTAAGCGCTGTTTTAGCTGTGCTGAGAGTCAGCAAATGTAATGGAAGTTAATGGAAGCACTTCTTACATGTAACAGCCTTCTGGATGTTTATTATTATCACTTTCGATAATTGGTATTCCAATACTCATTAACACATGGAAATACTTTATCTTTTTCACTGCAGAGTAATATCTTGTCTTCAAAAACTATTAGCCATGAAAACAGTAGGCAAGACATTCTCAAAAGCTATGAAACAATTTATAAAACCTGTTGATAACATTCATTTTGATAGCATATAGTTCCGTCATTTGAACATCCATTCTGAGGTCTGACCACTTCCAAGAAACTCAGCAGCGTTTTATGCAAAAAGTACATACTAATGTGCTCAGCAAAATTGCTGGACTGTTCAGATGAGCACTGAAAGCGTTCTCACCCCTGCAAGAGCAGCATTTAAAACAGTGCCCCACCATGAACCCTCTACAATCCATGACTTGCCAGCACAAGGCAAGTGGCAGGAGATGAATGTCACAGATGATGCTGGAGACCTGCTAAAGCTTCTTGGTTTGTAAAAGCTTCCTCCTAGTACCACTGTACAAGTGTAATCAGAAGGTTATCTCATATTTACAGAAGCTGAAGCACAAAAAAGGTCTATATTATTTGTTACAAAGGAAGGCTTGTGACAAACCACACTGTGACACAATACTCTTGCCTAAATGAAGAACATGACATGCTTTAGAAGTGATGTATCTAGTTACACTGAAATATGAAACAACAGAAGAAATCGCAAGATGTCAAAGAGGGAGTATTTCATATTGCCAGACTGAGTTGTCTGGCAGTCTGTCTTCATGTTTGATTGTTTACTGCTGTTAGAAGATTAAAAGTAAATGAAAACCAAATGCAGAACACATGTATTATTTTTGCTCCATTCTGTATGAAGTGACTTTTTAAAAAGTCAAAACCAAAAAGTGGTCATTTTACATTAAAAGGAAAAATACTTTAGTAAGGGTAAACATTCATGATGCTCTCAGTTTTTATTTTTATTCTAAAGAAGAAACTTTCTTGCAAGGTGCTCCAAAATGTTCCCATCAAAATAACATTTGCTGGATTATAATGCATCCTAATCAGAATTACTACTGAATTAAATACTAGGATAGGTAAGAGATGCCAGTAAATTCCAAAGAGTCATTTTGCCAACTTGCTTGAAAGCATGTTTTCCCCACACTTTTCTGTTTACCTTCTACAGCACAGGCTTACATGTGCACCACTAAAACACGCTTGCTTCTCTACTACAGTCACATAGAACTACTAGGAAATACTTACCAATCAGGAAAACTAACCAACAAGGCACAAGACTGTAAGGTTTAAAGTAATTTAAAGTCTTTAAGAGACCAAAGGCAACCAAGAAACTGAGATGGAGATGGCAACACTGGCACTGTCAGTCATCTGTTAGCATTAGACACTGACATTGTCTGGCACTTAAGGGTGAAGAATTATGTCAGCAGGCACTCGTAATTTTTAAAAGTGGAAAAATCTACCAAGTAAAGGAACTGATGGTTGTATGGCACTTCTGTCCTCTACGACCAGAGCTATGCAGATGGAAGCTAATGCAGCCAGCAGGAGGATTAATTTCCACTTAAGCCTTTGGCATGGAGTATGGGGAAACTGGAAATTAAGTTAATAGATCCACAGGAAAGTTTAGGATCATCTATTCTGATTTCCAGTATCCCAGGCTATTCAATTCTCCATAGTTATCCTATATGAAGTTCAAGAAGAAGAACCCCCTTACAACCAACCAGAGCTCTTCAAGACTTTCCATCCCTAGGCATATACCAGTCTGGACACAAGTTTGGCCCTGGAGATCTTTCAGTGTTAACAGTACCTGCCGTACACATAAGCTTCATGCCAAAGGCACAATGGGCAGCACAAGCGCACAGTTCTTCAACTCCCTTATGGTAAACATGAATTTGACTAAAGCCTAACATCCATAAAAGGATCTATTCTTGATTTGAAAGTCTTCAAGAAATGGAAAAATCATCACCTTCTCTGATAATTTGTTCCACTGCTTAATTACTCTGTTACATTTGTGTTATTTCCAAGGTGAACGTCTGACTTGGAGCTTTAATGTTTTTTTCTACTTCACCAAATTAGAGTACATTAGCAGTTAGTACTTTCCCCACACCAAGTTTTAAAGCACTTATCATGTCATCTTTAATGATTCTTGTTGACAGTCTTTGTACTTTAGTTCTTTGAATCTCATTTTCTCTGCACATTCTTCATTTTTCCAGTATGCTTCTTCACATGTAGACATCAGAAGCACATGCAGCATTAAAAAAATTAGTATCAACAAAGCTGTACAGATGTGCAAGTCTGCCAAGCAATTACAGTATCAGAAACAATCAAATTGACACAAGTACATAAACTGCATTTATATAGACTACTATAGAAGCCTTTAAAGAGGGCAGTATTGCCCTATTTAATTATACAAACCCTTGAAGTGGGGAAAATTAATTATGTGTGTGACGATTCAGGACATGGTTTAGTGGTAGATTTGGCAGTGACAGGTTAACGGTTGGACTTGATCTTAAAGGTTTCTTCCAACCTAAGAATATCAATGATTCTGTGATTCTATGTTTGAGATGACAGATTCCTCCCCCACCTCAAAATACACACATTGCTTGTCTGCTTACAGAATTCTTACCAGCTAAGAGCAGATCCATATACAAGTTTGTATTTTTCAGTTCTTTGACTCACCAGTTGGTACTTCCTATGATAAGATATTTTACAGCAACTGTGGGCCATTTAAGTACCTACCATATCTAGCTAAGAAATACCAATGGCATTATAACAATTTCTTGTAACCTTTGCTGTATTTTTTCTATTTCCCCCACAGTTAAGCACACAGATGGTAAAGCATCACTTCAAATATACCAAATACTATGTTTGAATACACTAATTTTAGGTTTCTGGCAATTTCTTTCCTATAGTAGTAACAGGCTAAAAGCTGAGCAAAAAGCAGTGTGCAGTACTAAAAACAAAGAACAGAAACATGAAAACATATATAATACTTAATTAGCCAACCCACATGCTGTGTATTCTTCTGTACAAGAAAAGCTGCTACTGGAACATAAATCCTGGGTTCTTCTCCTAATTTAAGCCCCAAAACTTTGCTTATCCTCTTTGAAATCAGATTAAGCAGTCAATTTCTTAGTCTGATAACTATTATGACCCATAGTATGATTACTATGACCTATTACCATTCCAGTACATGCACCAAGTACATATGGTTTACAGCAGAACTCAGAACAGCTTCTGCATTTGTGGTCCAGCCTATGAAGTTGGTACTTTGAAGGCAGACGGGAACACAACATGGTTCAAGGGGTCAAAAGGAATAAACATCTTTTGTTTCTGAAGCTTGCTATTTTTGTTCAAAATCCTGTAGCACAGAAGGTTAGCAGTTAAAATACAAATGAACAAGTGTTATCTGTCCTTCTACATGCCAAAAGCATTGGCTATATCCTCATTTTCAAACCTGTATGTTTGAATTCAAACATGTATGTTTTCAAACTTCTCATCAAGCATAAAAAAAAAAAAAAAAAAGAAAAGGTTTTTGGAAGCTGTTGGAAAGTCAGAACATTCTAATATTACATTCACTTCTTCTTTTTTTTTTTTGTTCCCAATGCTTTTCAGACTTACATGGTTAACTTAAAAAATCCATTTGTTTTTCCCAGCAATTTACAAGAAAAAAAAAACAAATGAAAAAAGAAAACTCTTCATCTTCAAGGCTGTGACATCTTACTGGAACAGTTGTTACTGTTAAAATTGCAACAGTATCTCTCTGACTTTATTTCTGATCCTTCTGAAATAGATATGGGTTTATTGACTTTAGACACCAGTGCAAATCCACAACTAATGTCCTGTATAATCATACGATGCTTTTCCATGAACATACAGGCTAAGCAAAGAAAAAACTATAACTGTCTGAAAACATTGTTTAAATGACATGATTTATAACATCATTGCAGGATTCTTACTCAAACATCATACAGTTTAGCATTTATTCAACCTTTCACTTCTAGCAAAATATAAGAGCAGAGGGGAAACAGCGTTCCTTGCCAACTGGCAAAGTAACAGCATTGCAACAGCTAACAGTGGTGATCGTTTGTCTTTTAGCTTGAACAGTACTATAAATCAAAGCTTTTAGAAGCAGCCTGTTTCTTCCACAAAAATAAAATTACTCCAATATTACAAATAAAAATAAATGCACATAAACCAGAAAAAGTTACAAATTATCTCCTCCCTCCCTCCACTCAAGCTATTCTACCTAACTCAAAAGAATAACTGCTCCCTCCAAATGAGGGTCTTCTTCAAAACCCCTACTGTCCATATTAGTCATATATCCTTTTCCTCCTCTGCACAGTCATCTGGGTCTCATTGAGAAGGAACAATAACCTCTGCGTTTGTATCCTAATGAGCTTCTTGCCTGAGAAGCTGAGGGTTTCAGTCGTTTACTTATAAGCATAGTAGATAATCTGTAGAAAATGCGCAAGAGACATGACACTGCCCTGAAAACCTTGCAATCTAATTCTGGTTGTTAGATAAATAATAAGAATAGTGAGAAAGAGCAAGAACTGCAGTATAAGACCAAGGGCTTACTTTGTTCTATTTCAGAGTATGCAACTGTATCAACATATGAGTAAAATTTTACAGTGGTAGTATTTTCTAAGTCTACTATCAGAGAACAGTTTCTCAATTCTAAAGAAAACCTGGATTGCTTGTTATAGTCAGATTACAGATGTTTAAATACTTGATGTAAATAAGAATGCAATACAAGAAATTGTGTTTCCATTTCCAGATATTTGTAACAAAATATTAACCACTCTTTTTCCACATGTCAAACTGTTTGGGGTTGTTTCAGGGTTGTTTTTTAAGAGCTGTAGTGTTTTCCAACAGCTTTCATACATATCTGATATAAGCAAACAACAAACTATGTGTATTTGATGACACTTGCAATAGTATATTTACTATTCAGTTCCAGCACTATGAGCAAAATGTTTCCACTGCAACTGGTTTACTCTCCTTTTAATTAAAAGGTAGACTGCATAGTTAATACAGCAAAAATAATTACGATATTAATTACACTCAGTGCAGCAATATTTAATCCCTCTTGTCACAACCATATGGCAAGACAATTTTAAAGCATATTGTAGCACAAGCATAAACTGTTAGGTGTTGAAAGACTTTCAGGCTCTGTCTTGCAAAAGCATTTCTGTCAGAAGCATAAAACAAATTCCACACTAATAATCCTGTAGACAGCCAGGTTCATGCCCTTAAATTTCCCCAGGTATCTATACTCCGCCGGGATGAGAACTCAGACCCCATGTCCCATCATACTACTCTCCAACATACTCTGCCTTTGGCCTGAGTTTGTCTCTGCAGCAGTACAACTTCAAAAAGGAGTTTTACAGAGCACCTCTCCCACCCGTCCCCTTCCTCGCCATTCCAAAACCCTGACAGTCCGAGTCAATACTGTGCGTGTTATAAAATGTGGACTTTATTTCTCTCTGGCTATGGGCAGACCATGACCTGAGTCCCAGCATTCAGCATGACATCATCATGGTCTTCACTAAGAAAGCTGACTATCCCAATTAAATTTCTCAGTCATCTATTCTGGCTGCAGCTTTGATCTACCTTGGAAGATCACTGTGCAACTACAAAGAGGACATACACACGCAAGAACTAGATGGTTGGTTAAATCACTTCTGTGTATGCTCAGTCTGGGATATTTTATTTTGTCATTCCAACATCAGGAAGTGCTTCAACCATGCAAAGGGTTTCTTTAGACACAGCACAATAGTTAGTGTAGTGGCACTGCCTTAGCATCATCACTTCCTCAGTTGATCTAATCCAAGGTAGGCCTATATAGCCCCCAAGTTGTTCTGCAAGAAGTTATCTTGTATTCAAGAGCTCACAGCTATGTCACTGGTATTGTCCAATTTCTTGCATGTTTTTCCCCCCCCCGAGTTCTTTAAAATGTCCTTTAAAATACATACGTTTAAATAAACATACACCTCAATGAAACAATTAAGCTACTCCCTATTTAGCATTTTAAAAGAACTTACCAAATTTGGTGTTGGAATACGCAATTCAGGAAACTGACACCTAGAAGTTAAATGCAGGAATTCTCACAGTAAACCTCAACACATTAATTTTATTGATGATACTGTCATTAGCATAGACACAATAATTTAGAAATTTAATACCTATATAGTGTCACAGATACCTTCTTTTTATCCTACAACGAAAACTGAAGCATACTACAGAATCAGTAAGTCCTTTCAAAAGGTGATGTCTTTACTATTTCAGAGCACAATTCTTTTCACAGTCTAAACCACATCAACAAATTCTGTTGAATTAAATAAACAGGACACTTAGCACCCATAACAGAGAAAAGCACAGTCATTTCCCCAAACATCTGTCCTGTCTCTGCATCCTCTTAGCTTCCTGTGCCCCTCCTCAATGGCAGAGTGTGAGACTGAAAAGTACTTGATTGGAGTAAACATTACTTAGCAACAACTAAAAACATCGGTGTGCTATCAGCACTGTTCTCGGGCTCAAGTAGAAAACACAGCACTGCACCAGCTACTAAGAAGGAGAAAAATGACTGCTACAGCTGAACCCAGGACACTTGCATATTACAATACCTTTCTAAGGAGGCAGCATATTAAATAAACTTTACCTTGTGGTTCATGCGTGGCATGGACTGCAACAAAGCAAAGTTACTAGAACTTCTGTGTCTTTTAATCACACTTTCTGAACAGTTCTATGAGTCTAATTTATAGCACTGTCACCATACCGAATGTGTGTTTCTCAAGAAAAAATGACAAAAAATTTAAATCCAATTCCTTTAACAACAGACTGCTTCTTTAATACCACCAAGAGAGCATCGCAATAGTGCACACACCAAGTTATGTTTTAAGAGCACTTTCTTCACACATGGGCAAACACATGGGATGGTGAGTGCCTGCCTCAGGAGCAGGGCCCAGCCTGGGAGCTCTGGTCTGGCTGCCCCAGCATTGGCCAGTGTCACCACCCAGACAGAACTGATGAGAGGGGAGGCTGCAGCACAGAGCTTGGGGTGACAGGACAAGGGGTAATGGGTTCAAACTGAAACAGGGGAAGTTTAGGTTAGATATAAGGAAGAAGTTCCTTACTGTGAGGGTGGGGAGGCACTGGAATGGGTTGCCCAAGCAAGCTGTGAATGCTCCATCCCTGGCATCATTCAAGTACAGGTTGGATGGAGTTGGAGTCTTGAGTGACGTGGTTTAGTGCTAGGTGTCCCTGCCCATGGCAGGGGGTTGGAACTATATGAACTTAAGGTCCTTTCCAACCCTTTCTATGATTCTAAAATGCAAACTACCATTATTTGAGCATTCTTCCACTTCAGACTGGCTGCAATGACATACATACAAGGTAACCCAAACATCTTAGTGTATTAAGAAGAAATCATCAGCTCAATTTTGTTAACACCATCACTTAAATTTGCAATTATAGCATTACAAGTGAACACTTTCTTTTTTTCTTCCCCTCCAAGAGAGGCTGTAACAAACGCTATAGGCAGCCACAGAAGACGTCACTAAGCTGGTTCAGTTCCAGCACTGATTTGAGCACATCCAGTTGAGCTGTATCATCATATATGGCAGTTTACACTTTGTCTGAAATCAAGAAAGATGAGAGTGCAGACATCCTTTAGCATCTCAACCATGGGCTGAGCTTAACTGATCTTGACGTCGTAGCTACCGCCTGCAAAGGTGAGCTACTCACAGTGGCAAGCTGATGAAATTTATGACTAACCAAATTACTACAGTAAGGGAAGTTCTCCTGCTGGTTCTAACTTAGAGCAATGCTAACAGGCAGCACTTTCCTGCAGTGACTTTTTGAAAGCTTTGAACTTGAACTTACATTTTGTTATAACAAAATTCATGACATGAAGACTGTGAATTACATTGCAGAAAGGATTACAGGCTCTTCAGAAAGATAAAACGTTGTGTAGCGTGGAAGAGTTGACTACTCTGTACACCAAAGCTTTTTGGACATTTTACTTCACTTTTTCTGACAGGCAAGGAAAAGATCACTGTTAGATTACATCTTCCACGGTATAGTATAATTTGAACACATTAAAACAAATCAAGGCTAACCAAAAGGCAACAATGTCAAGAATTCCAAGAATTAAACCAAGTATGTTACTATTTATTTCATGACAGATTTAAAGAAGGATAAATAGCACTTGATAGCCTGTAAGCTACGTAAGCAATGCATGACCCTCGTGTTTTTACCCCTTAACACGCTATAAAGTTACCTTAACAGAAGTTCTTTGGGTAGTTTTTTGTTAATAAGGGCTTCATCGTTATTTGAGAAAACCTAAAAACAGAAAGAAAAATCATCACTTAGACCTACAAGACAAAAGCTTTTAGAGAGTCTTTCCACCTTCTATTTAGGTGCTTACTTCTTTTAAATCACTGTTCCCATTTTCAACATGTCAGTTGGCAATAGTATAAAATCATTTCAATATACACAACAGGGCCACACACACATCAGGGCCACACTCACACATCCACCTGGTATTCCCTGGTGCTAAGATGCAACTGTGCTAAGAACTGTGAAACAACTTGACAGTCATTAAACAAGCAATACGAAGACACATTTTCATAGTATTCTAGGCAACAGCGGAACTTCTAGCAATAGCTAGACACATACAAACACACACTAGTTAGTGTCCTAAAACTGTCCTATTACAGAAAACAGAAAGGGGACACTTTCCAGTTATTCAGGTCCCTTCCTTCATTGTCTGCAGTGTAAATACTTCAGCCCAGGTATGTGAATGTGGATAAAATATAATAATCTAAATTTAAATAATTTACTGCCACAGGTATGACAGCAACTGCTACATAAGCAAGGGAAGCACCTCAAAAAACGCTACCAGAAAAACTAAAAATACCTCTCACCCAGAATTTCCTAACAGATCTCCTAAGGAAAAGAAAGTGGAGAGATTGAAAGAAAATGCCAAAGGAAAAAGCAGGTAATACACAGGAAAATGTTTCTGCAAAGACAAACAGGATTATTCAACAGATAAATAGATAAGCTACAGAAAGGAGATACTGACAACTTATTGTAAATATGTAGGTTTGAGACATTTTGCCATTGAAAAACAGCAGTAAACAAAACAAAGTGAATCAGAATCATATTTGCAATCAATTCAAGGAATCACAGTATAGACTGGAGAGAGTCAAAGTCACAAACAATCACTTCCCCTGCAAAGAGAACATCATTAGGTAGTCATTTGCTGTCTACATTGCTTGAAACAAAAGCCAGAAGGAGATCCAATATAGCCAAGAACTTTCTGAATGCTAAAAGATAAACTGGAAGTAATCTTTCCCCTGTCCTCCCCTAAGAGTATGCTGTTCCTGACTCAGTGTTACCCCTTGTCCATCCTACCATCACACATTATCAGTTACTTGGCAAGTATGCTTTGCTTCTTGGGAAAATAAGGAAAACAAACAAAAAAACCCCACCACAAACAAACAAACAAAAAACCCACAAAAAAACCCCAATCAAACAAACCCAAACAAAACCAAAGAAAATCAAAACCCAATTCCAGTTCCTTAAGGAGAAAAACATTCATGGCTTTAAGCAGTTCTACATGGCTGACTGCAGGTTGAGGTTCTGCTTTACATCCCATGCCCATTGCTGTCAGTGTACTGACTTTATGCTGAAATACACTATGCACACCAACACTATTTTTAGAAGTGGTTGTCTGAACTTAGCAATTCATTGATTTATGAATTATCTGCATGTATGCCATTTTAGGATTATATGCTACTCATGCTTTTCATCTTACATCCTGAAAACAGTATTATATATTGGGATAATCTTTTAGAAGCACAGTCAAAACACAGTCCTGTGTTTATTGCAGCACTCATTTAGAAAAAGAAGACATATATGCCATCCTCATAGAACTTAACATCACTAAAAACCGAAGTGAGGAAATATTTCTGCTGCAGAGAATGAAGTTACCTCTGTGAAAGCACACTAGGCCTACGGTAAAACCAACGAGTGAACTTGGATCTTAGTTAATTCTGGCCTAGATTCTGAACATTCAGTATCAAAGACCACTAAAAATTCTCTTTCAATTTAATTATTCTATAGTTACAGATAATCCCTCTAAGGTTACATCACCTACCATACACTTCCCACTTATGAGCCTAAGTGTTTTTAAATAAAGCTACTTTGCAGACTGCTACTGGTTAACACGTGCCATCGTTTTGCCAGTACAAAGGTTATCACCCTTTTTTTCTTTACACTCTAGATTCTCAGATGTATAATAACGTGGATATAAGCTCACTGTATGAAGGCAACACAGTATTTAAGTTAGTAAATTTGTCACATTCAAAACAATAACCTCCCACTTTTGCTTCCCCTTCCATATTGTTACACACACTAACTACAACTAGTCCTGGAACATAACTTGTTGGTACACCACGGTCAGCTTGCCACTATTAAAAGCACCACATATTCTTCTCTTTTGGTCTAACGTTTGGTGATAAAGCTCTTCTGTTTTCACCAGAATTACTGATGGAATTGTACATTTGGGGGTTTCTACCAAGTTTTGGCAAAGCACTGGAGTATGTTCAAAAAAGCACATTTTTCTCTATGAAGAAACATAGGAATATTCACCACAGTTTATTATGCTTATCTTAAACATTTGGAAATTCCTTCCAACTAGAATTTTAAGATCAAAACAAGGTTATACTAATGATTTTGGTGATAATTTTTTAATGATGCTATTTCAGTTATTATCCGCTCCTCTTTTGAATAGGACTATTGTCTTTACAGATGAAACAGTTCTGTTGGCATTATGGCTCAGTTCCATGGCGATATTTATGTACCTAATTTCCACTGACATCAGAGTCAATAAGGACCTTCAATCTGTCAACTTTGCAAATCAAAAGTTATTAAAAACCAGACTCAAAAATAGACTTGCTTAGTAGTGTGCTAAAGCAAGCAAGTAGGGATAAATTTGGGAAAAAGGGAAAATTATGTTCAAGACACCTGAAAGAACATCAGCAAAAAGAGAAGACATACATACTGAAAACAAGGCTGAATTATTTATCAGGTCAGGAACAAACACAACGTTGGGTCATTGTCACCAAACGAGACAGCAGTTTAGAATTAAATCCATACATTTATGGCTGACAGGGCAAACATCCTAGTTAGACTAAATATTGTCATGTCTAAAAAGCATAGTGTCTTTCAGGTTTTCACTGGCAAGAACAATATTTATTGTTATTTATGTAGTGATAGGCATTGTAAGGACAAGGTGTTTTAATGGAAAATCCTGATGAAATAGAATTAAACTTTTATTCAGTTCCCCTGATGTGCGGATTTTTATTACCAAACACAATCCACACAAGCTTGCTGCACATCTCTTCCTCAACAGAGACACCTGATTGCTGCCTGTGCAATCCCCTTCACCATGCTACTGAAATCACTTCTCACTATAGTGACAAGAAAGCCAGCAGATCAGCTTTGCCACCCAGAGCAGCTCAGGAGCACACTAAAGTTACGAGTGGCATCCCAAAAAGCTCTCTATTTAAATACAACAGAAAAATGGAGGAGGAAGAAAAGGGAAAACAATCTTGCTTTACTATAAATTTTGTATTCCCTCACATCTGACACTACAGAGTACTCTCTCATAGTCAGAGAACTCCTGTTAGCTGATGCTTTCTCCAGAAATGAACAATTAAAGCATTGGACAGGCAGACAGGCAGAATCACTTAACTCTATGCAAGTAACAAAAGGTAAAAGTATCCAGGCAACAAAAGGAGTGTCAGACAAGCAAACGGATGCACACTGCCAACAGAACAGAACTAAGAGATGCCCAAGACACAACAGCTGGTGGCACAGGACTGCTGTTACATTAGAACTCATGGTAAAGCTTTCTGTATCGATAAAATTATGACACACCAAAGTGAACCTTGAAAGGCAATCCCACCTCAAACCAAGCTTGCCTAGAGCAGAGACAGAATGGCCAAGTCTTTTGTTTCAATAACAGACACTATTTGCCCTCCAGGCTCTCACTCCTATGCTCAAGCTGCTCACCATGCTCCATCACAAGCTTTGACTTTGTGCACTTTAAAATCCCAGCCATTCTGGTCTGTTTTGGTCAGTGACCTCTTGGACCCTCTACCAGAGCTCAGGGCATTGTCTTCAGTAGGCTCACAGCTTCCTCCTTGCTGTCAGATACATACCTACTGGGGTCTTTTACACTGGTCTTTCCTCGGGATATCTTCTCTTTCAGCACTGCGACAAACTGACCAATGAAAGCAACTAGTACCTCATACGAAATACTTCTGTACTCACTGTGTTGGTCAGCTTAAAAAATTAAGGCCCACCTTCGGTGAACAAGATCACATACCAGGTTGGACAGGGCTTTGAGCAACCTGGTCTAGTGGAAGATGTCCCTGCCATGGCAGTGGGTTGGAACTGGACAAGCTTTAAGGTTCCTTCCAACCCAAACCATTCTGTGATTCTATAAAATATGCCTGTGAACATCTCTCTGTCTTTCGATAACACCTTCCACTCACGTAGGGCTGCCTGTAAGAGCTATACTGCTTTTAAAGTTTCCCCAAAGTACATACTGTCCAATATATCAAAACCTGCCAGGCAGAAGCAGCTGGCCACACTGCCCACTTTGCTGCTTGGTTTTCTTCCAGAAGACCCATCATTCTTGTTTTGCCACCACTGGTATTCATACCATATCATTCACATTTTACTGGAGGGAATCAGTCTGGCTTTGCAAGGTCCTGTTCTCACTGGGTGACTGATCAAGGTCATTTACGAACTTCAGAACTGATGTCCGTAGCTGCTCAACTCTATCTCGAGGCCTTTGGCTGTTCCAGCTCTTAACATGGAGTAGGATTTACTTGGCGGTTGCTTTGACTGCTGTCTTGAGCACACAAGAGCATTCTCAGTTGACCTAACAGCTCACATCACCCTTTTCTGTGTGTTTTTCAGAAGGGCTGTCACCAACAGCCAACAACATATTTGGAAATCACCAATCAAGCCCTTTCAATAGTATGACTGACTTACTGCAAGCAGTCAAGGTAGAAAGGCCTAACAGGTTATCCTGACCTGTTAGCTGAGCTGGCTGCTCTTTAATGCAAGACTTAGCCTCATCTCCTATAGAGTCACCAATGAGACAGCAATCCCCTGAACAAGCCTCAGATATTAAGCATACTTTCACATACTACTGTCTTACCAGTGTTGTTATTTAAGGTGCTGTGACAGATTCATATAAGCACTTAATTCATGTAAACTATGATACAAACCAAAGAGATACACCTTGTTCTAACTACTAGCAG